AACCATTTAACAGGTTTTTACTGTAGCATTTTTACAGTCTTTTACCATTAAATTCATGGTCATTTTTTACAGTGTACATAATATAGCCTACTGGAAATGGAGAAATGAATTACAGAAAACAGGTAATCATTTGTGTATTAGCTGTTTAAGATGGAGATGGCATGGGGGGAAAACCTAGATGTTCTAGTGCACAGAGATCTGACGTCTGCCTGAGGGGAGAAGTTCAAACAGGTTGTGGCCGGGATGAGAGGGGTCTGATGTTGCCTGCCCGTTTCTTCACTCTGGAGTTGTACAAGTCCTGAAGGTTGGGCAGGTACACACCAATTATCCTTTCAGCTGTCTTGACAGTCCGTTGCAGTCTTCTTAGCTATCTGATTTGCTGGCTGACCCAAACCAGACAGTTATAGAAGAGCACAGAACCGACTCAATGACAGCTGAGTAAAACTGTGTCATCTGTGCCTGTGGCAGGTTGAACTTTTGAAGGCAGGTTAAACTGTTTGCCTTGTCCAAATACCTTGTGGTCTTGGCTGCTTAATAATGAGATATTACATATAATTTGGTAGCAAAACAAAGAGTTGCACATTTTATCTGTGTCATCTATTATAGGGACTACTGAACAGACATTTAGAAGTTGATTTTAAAATGCAAAGTATAAAGCTCTGTAAACACTTGCATTTTTACAATTATGTAAGTGTGTCCCGAAAAGTTCGACACACAGGCTTTGTCCAAATACCCACACTTGCAGTCTTTGCACCTGACCACTTGATTACTTAAATGACGTATTTCCTGTATTTGGCCGAAGTCTTGAAGTGGGTGTTAAGACCACAAGTGTATGTCGAACTTTTCATTACTTGATGGGACACACTTATCGTGTTGTAAAAATGCAAGTGTTTACATAGCTTTATTTTAATTTTAATTTGAAATACTTTGCATTTTAAAATCAACTTCTAAATGTCTGTTCAGTAGTCCCTATAACATGACATAATTTTAATTTGTGGTGCTTCTAATTAAATGATAAAAAGCAGTTTCAAATTAAAAACAAACAAGCAAGCCCTGTCCAGATTTAAAAGTAACGCAAAAGTAACGCAACGCATTACTTTCAATAAGAAGTAACTAAGTAACGTAATTAGTTACTTTTTTATGGAGTAACGCAATATTGTAATGCATTACTTTTAAAAGTAACTTTCCCCAACACTGCATATAAGTAGTAAAGTGGTCAAGTACAAAGACCGCAAGTGCGGGTATTTAGACAAAGCATTGGACAGGGCATTCCTCTGAGTCCGCACTTTCGTGACATGGCTAATGCCGCTTTGACTGCCGGGTAGAAGTCGGCTGCGTAGCTCGCAGGCACCTGAAAGCTAAAATGACAAACGGGACACCCTGGACTTAACGAACACGCGCACGCAGCGGCCATTGTAAGTCCTCAAGACCGAATGTGCACATGAAGTGTGCCATTTAGGACAGTGCAGCCGACATCAAAAAACGACGTAACCTTAACCAGAGAGTCAGTGAATAAATCTTTTTGGTGAAATGATTCAAACGATTCGAGTCACTTGAATTAATCTGCCATGTCGACTCGTGTCGGCAGAGGGCGCCGGTTCTCGCTCTCTACTGTGGCACACGGAAGTAGCCGATGGGGGTCTGAAAGTGCTGGTAATTTTATCCTCTTTGATGAGGGTTAACATCGCACCGCAGCGTTCCTCTTGCCGTTTTCACGGGATCATGACAATTTTAAACAATGGAATAGTCACCCCTCGTTTGAGCTCAGACGACATTTGATTCAACCAATTCCCATTTGAATAACCCCGCTTCGGAAGAAAATGGATCAGGAGTTTGAGAACATCGATTCATCTGGACAGTGGCAAAACCTTTATAATGTAAGTCCTACTGTTTTTCTGAATGATTAAATATGAGCCGTTCTTAGGGTGAACGCCTGGGACACCTGCTGCATTGTACCCTGATAGATTTGTAATGTTTATCTACTAATAGTCCTGTGCGAGGACTCGGGCCGTGAGGTGAGAACAAATGGGTAATTCAACTTTTCGTTACAGCGCATGCGCGTAATACCGAGAAATACGGTCCACATGAATTTACTGCCTGCATCTGAAATTATCTTCCATTGTGAATCATTTCAGCTCGGTAAACCTGAACGGGAGTGGAAATGGTTTTACAATAATTTTGAACTGAATCGGTTTGTTATTTTAAATTCTTGTCAACAAGAAAAACGAATAAAACCATTCAGCGAATGGGCATGTGTTAGTATAACTTGTTTACACTGAGTAAACGCAAGCAATGTGAAGTGCATGAGTGGTCATGTCACAGTGCGGTGCATTAGAACAGCTTCCTGCGAACACATGGGCTGTGTCTCAATACCCTGTGAGCTGTCTACCTAGACAGCATTTCAAGACATCACGGTTCCATGTTAGTTTTTTTTTTGGCACCATATGCGTTCTAAGTCCTATCACCCTAAATGCCATCTGATTTCTGCCGCCTTTTAACCCCCCGGCGTGCACTTATGATACTCAAAAATGCCTTCGAGTTAGGGAGCTCGCTAGGTTTGACACACAGCCATGCACTGATATGGTTTCTGAGAACTGACGAGCACTTCCCAAGAACTGAAGAACCGAAGCTGTCAGTTCTCTAGAACTCAGCCAGATAGTCCTACATGTACAACCCCCCTTAGTTGCCTGGATATATTCTATGTTCTTTATTTATATTTTAATAACACTCCCTCCTTCTTTTGCCATTTTAAAAATATAAAGAAAAGTTTACATACAGGTCTTACAGGTCATGTAATATGTATGAGAGTGTTTTTTTTTTTTTTAAGGGATGGCTCTAAGGGTTTTCACACTGATGTTTGTTATTTTGTAATCCGTTTCTAGGAAATCCGTAACCAGTCTCATGAGTGTCCCTACAAAGTGGCAAAGTTCCCAGAAAATCGCAATAGGAATAGATATAGAGACGTCAGTCCCTGTAAGTTTCTTCCATGTACACCATTTTAACCATATTTCACTCATGTTGTAGCCTTGCCCTTAAAGGGACAGTTCACCAAAATTTGTATTATCATTTAGTCGGCATTGTGTTGTTCCACATCTGTATTACTTTTTGTTTGTGAACCCAAAAAGGAGACGTAATAGCCTCCGAATATCCACCTCAGTCACCATTCACTTTTATTGGATGAAAGAAAAATGTAGTGAAAATCAGTAGTGACCTAATTTGTTCCATGGAGGAAAGACTACGGTGGGCGAGAAGTGCAAAGCAAATCACAAATGCTAAAAATACTGCTATTTTCACTTAGTGTAAATAGAATCCATTGCTAATACGAGATTTGAAAAGAGAGGAAAACAAAAAAGTTCGGCAAAAGGCGGGATCGAACCCGGGTCGATCGTGTAAAAAAGCTAAGGGCACACACCTATCCATCTGCGTCACTGGAGCTGATGATTAACAGCCACTTTTAACTAAATGTAAATAGACACCCCGTATTTTTTATTCCATAGTAAGGGCAATTCATACAATACATTTAAACTGAGCTACTTTAATACCATCTCCGAACTTTCTTCCACGACTCTGCTGTTCTTCGATTTGTCATTGTGTTTTCTGACTTGTTATAATGTTTTCTGAATTGTTGTTGTGCTTTCTGAATTGTTATTTTGTTTTTTAGACTTGCATTTGCATTTGTAATTTGTTATTTTGTTTTCAGAATTGTGATTTTGCTTTGCACTTCTCGGCCACCGTAAAAGACAGCCACACAGAGTTGAATTACAAAGATTTTTTTTTCTTCAGTAAATAAAACTTTTTTTATTTCTCCTGTAAACTTAATCTTGATTTCAGATTCAGTTTAACACATGATGCCAAAATATTTGTTTCAACTTTTTGTGTTAAGATGATCACAGTCGGGTGAGATTAGAAAATTCAGAGAATGACTACATAAATGCGAGCCTAATTACCATGGAGGAGGCCCAGAGAAGGTACATATTGACACAGGTATGGCAGTAATGGAAAAAGTAAGTCCACTGTTTGCATTTAGCTGACTTACACTGATGTCTCATGTGGCCTAAATACTGTACACATTTACATGCGGTTCTTCTTATATGCAAACGAATTTGATTTACACGTTTCCCCTGTTTTTATTGAATTTGTGTTTAGCATGTTGAATCCTTTTTAACATCCTTTACAGCCTTTTTGTAGAACAAAGAAGAATGTCTCATAGATTGTAATTTAATGTAACCGACATTAAGGTTACATTAAACATAACCTTCTTTTGCATTGACCAGCTTGTTTGTGCGTTCTCTAATGTAATTACAGATACTTTTCTCTTTCTGCAGGGCCCACTGAGGAACACTTGTGGTCACTTCTGGCAAATGATTTGGGAACAACGCTGCAAAGCAGTTATTATGCTTAACAGAGTTATAGAGAAAGGCTCGGTGAGTGAACACGAATGTTTGTTCTTAGCCTTGCTTTGTTTTTACGTTTATGTAACATTTTAATTTAAAAGAAAGAAACATTTTGTGGTCATATTCAGCAAGGATGCATTAAGTTGATCAAAACTGACAGTAACGGCTTTTGCTTTACACACACACACACACACACACACACACAAAATGCATTCCAAATAAATCTTTCTATTCATCAAAGGATCCTGAAAAAATTTTAATATTTTTATTTTTCCATTAAAATATTAAGCAGCACAACTGTTTCCAACATTGATAATAAGCAATATTTCTTGAGCACCAAATCAGCATATTAGAATGATTTCTGAAGAGAGGAGTAATGGTTGCTGAAAATTCAGCTTTGCCATCACAGGAATAAAATGAATTTTAAAATGTATTAAAATATAAACAGTTATTTTTTCACAGTTATATTTCACAATATTACTATGTTTAATTGTATAATAAATTCTGACCACAAACTTTTGAATGGTAGTTCTTATGCATTACTATTTCAATTAATTGTCTTGAGATCTGTCCCCCCCCCAACCATTATTGTGTATTATGTTGATAAGTAGTAATATATATTTGCTTGCTGCTTAGTAGAAGAAGAAAAAAAGCAGTGATAAATCATTTTGAAATGCTTTTTGCGGTTTTTGTTCAATCTGAACAGGAGAAATGTGCACAGTATTGGCCATCAAAGGAGGAGCGAGACATGGATTTTATTGACACTGGGTTTATGGTGACTCTGGTGTCTGAGGATGCCAAATCGAATTACAAAATCAGACTGTTAGAACTTAAAAATGGCAAGGTGAATGTAATGTTAAATTATTACATCATTAAATGCTTCTCTAAACAAGACATGAAAAATGAATGTTGTTTAAATTTTGTCCTGTATTTATAGACTGGAGAAACCAGAGAGATCTACCATTTTCATTACACAACGTGGCCTGATTTTGGTGTACCAGAGTCCCCAGCATCATTCCTCAACTTCCTTTTCAAGGTTCGAGAGTCTGGCTCATTGGGGCCAGAGAACGGACCTGCGGTGGTCCACTGCAGTGCAGGAATAGGAAGATCTGGGACTTTCTCATTGGTTGACACCTGCCTTGATTTGGTAAGACTGCAGTTGCAAAATATTGAATGATTCTAAAGGTTTTATAGCACATCATCATTTATCACATTCATTATGTGAGACTGTAATCATTTTTTGAACCTGGGCCCGAAGATTCCCATTATCAGCTACAATATAATGTACTGTGGAACTGACAATTCAATGTTGTTTTGTTTTTGTAGATGGACATGAGGAAAGACCCTTCGTCTGTGGACATACAAAAGGTTTTGTTAGATATGAGAGAGTATCGAATGGGACTTATCCAAACCCCAGATCAGCTTCGATTTTCATATATGGCAGTCATGGAGGGAGCAAAGAGCATCCTCGGAGACTCAGCTCTACAGGTACCAAGCATGGTGTGATTGCATTATTACATTTGATTTTGAGTAGTATAGTAATAATCAGTGTTGCATGTACAAAACCTCCCGAACAAAAACACGCGTGAACAGGACGGAGAAATTATGTAAACAGATGCATATGAAAAATAATGCGATCAATGGCAGCATATAAATGAAAACTGTATAATATGTTGATATGAGTAAAATGTTGATCCAGGAAGTGGTATATGTCTGTGCAAGCTTTGGAGGTGTTGATAGAAGCGATTTACTGGATTTATGCTTTGATAATCGTACTGAATATTACCCAGATGTAGTTTTTGATAAAAATTAGATTTTCTCACCTTTTTGCTCAAAATTATGCTTAACCTACCTATATTCAAGTGTTGATAAAAAGAGAATGCTTTAAGCTAGAATAAAACAGATTTTTTTGTTTAAAAGTAGAGGCTCTGATCTTTATTTTGGTGTATTGCATATTCAAATATTCATACAGCAAAATATTCTGGAGGCCATCAAATTTTAGTGAAAATCATAAAAATCGCTGGCGGTGGCTGGCAACTTTTTTTCAAAAATGCTGGTGTGGAAAGAGTTAAATTATACAAATATTTCAATATGTATGTTTTTTTTTATGTATTTTTTTTTAATCAAACAAATTAAAAAACATGAAAAACACCAAACTTTTGAATGGCAGTGTAAATAAACAACTTTTTTTCAAAAATGCTGGTGTGGAAAGAGTTAAATTATACAAATATTTCAATATGTATGTTTTTTTAATGTATTTTTTTTTAATCAAACAAATTCAAAAACATGAAAAACACCAAACTTTTGAATGGCAGTGTAAATAAATGTGTTACATACTTTCTTGCATTACTTGTTACTTTTCCTCACCAAATCAAACACTGAATTATTTATTTATTTATTTTTTCTTGTGCATGTGTTATTTTGATAAACCATAGTAATCTTGCTTTGCAGTGTATGTGAATAGTTGATGTGTAACGTCAATAAACATAAAAAAAACCCACAGGTACTGTGTATGTGTCTCTTTTGCACTGACAGCAGAAGCAGCCTACAGAATGGCAGGAACCAGAAGCTTATTTGGTTTCATCTTCTCAGAGCTCCATCTTGAGTTCAGAGAAACTCAACGGACAGTCTGACTCTTGTTCAGAGTCACATGATCCAGGAAGAGAACAAGACAGCATACATTCACCAAAGGAAGAGCATACAGAGTTAAAAACATTAAGGTAAGAGAAAAGAAAAAAGAATGTTTCATATTGTAAACTGATAGCTGAGCATACAACTGTCATTCAGTTGTTCTAGATCTAGTTCAGTCAACCATGATTGTAACAGCAGTACTAGACTGAATTACAGAGTTGATCAAGAGCATCCATTACTGTTCAAAAGTTTAGTGTCGGTAAGATTTATTTTTTATATATATAATTTTTTAGTATTAATACTTTTATTCAGCAAGGAAGCATTCAATTGATCAAAAATGACAGTAAAGATTTTTTTATGTCACAAAAGATGTCCATTTTGCATAAATGGGATATATATATAAATATATATATATATATATATATATATATATATATATATAAAACGGTTATTTTAAATTGCAGTAATATTTCATATGACTTTTTTTTAACCAAAACTTTGTGAAAATATATTTAGAAAAAGGACATGCGATGTAGTTGTGCCAATACCAGGAAAATTGCTCACATTTTTTTACTTATTAAAAAATCTGAAGTAATCAAATATGTGTGTTGTTATTACTTCCAGTCTACGCAAGCAGAACCGTGAGGAGCGGATAGCCAGCACGGCACAGAGGGTGCAGCACATGAAGCTGAAACTAAGCGATTCGGAGAAGAAGAAAGAGAAGTGGCTATTTTGGAAACCAATTCTCCTAAATGTCGGTGCTGGTGCAGCTGTAGCAGTAGGACTGTGCATGTGCTGGATTTATTATCGTATGGTTCTAAATGTAAAGCTTTTGTTTTGTCGTGTCCATTTAAGTCAATCCAAATTGAAGAGAATGTACATTTGCAACTAAGCCTTTGTTACTTCGGGAAATTCTTATTATTTTATAATAGCAGTTTGGATTTAAGAGTAAAATGTCTATGGTTAACATTACTTGAGACTTTCTCGTTTTGTTTTAGAAAATAAATTGCATACATTAGTTCCTCAAACACATGGATAAATCTCTGTATCGTACACCACAGTATAAATATAAGTGCAATGGTACCATTATTGTTATTCCAGAGAAAGTACAGTTTATGCTTAACGAGAGAACTACAAGATCCAGGGGCTGAAATTCCATGACGTAATTTCCTAAGTAGGAAGACGCTGTGCCTGATTTAAACCTCGAGCTGAATCTTTTCTAGAATCTCCGAATTCGTAAAGTATCAAAGCTCATGAACACTACCGTTCGTTAAACGTAATGTAATGTAGTTAGGTTTTTGTTTTACAGCGTTTAGTGTATTTTAAAACCGCGACTGCGAAGATACACAGGCGCTGTGATGACAGACTCCTGCTTGCCTTTCCGCCAGGATTTAAAATGTTAGTTGCAGAAAGCGTTGACATTTACATCGCATCCAGCAACAGAGCGAAATAAATATGAATATGTTGAATACCAGTAGTTAATGCAGACGTTGACTTCAAATGCGTTCTAAATTTTAGACTCTTGCTATTTTCACGCTCGAAAACATGTCCCTGCCACCAGAAAAAGCAACTGAATTCAAACAAATAATCCATGACCATTTAATCAAGGTAAGCTAAAGTAACGATCTGTTTGTTGTTGAGAAAATTATTTATGTCAGAAACCATTATATTTCTGTTTTACATCATTTTATATGAATAAAATAATTGTGTAGTTGTACAAGAAATACATTACGGTTTGTTTTCCGATGTTGTTGTTTGTGCTGGTGTGTTTTTTAGGTGGTTGACATGACAACCAACCACCAACGCTACACTTCTATATCGTGTAATTTTTGTGCAATTACTACGCATGCAGTTTTTAAGTAAACACATTTATAATAATTGAGGGGGTTTTTTATGTTTTGAAAAAATGATCTTATTCTCGGCTTGGCTGCATTAATTTGATCAAAAATACAGTAAAAACAGTAATATTGTTAACTGTTCTTAGAATTTGAAATATTTTTTTTATATATTTAGAAATTTATTCAGCATATTAGAATGATTACTGAAGGATCACGTGGCACCGAACATTGGAGTAACGTCATAGTACTAAATTGCATGTTAAAATGTATTCAAATAGAAAACAGTGCTTTTTGTAAGAATATTTCACAGTCTTGCTGTTTCCACTGTATTTTTGATCAAATAAATGCTTTGTGAGCATAAAAGACTTCTTTCAAAAAATGAAAGAAAAAAAAAAAAATCTTAATAAAACCTAAACCTAATATAAACCTACATCTTCATATTGAAAATGTCCTAATGTTGTTATTTAACAACTAACATATCCGAGCATATCACACCAGTCCTCAGGTCCTTACACTGGCTTCCACCAGCACGGCACAGAGGGTGCAGCACATGAAGCTGAAACTAAGCGATTCGGAGAAGAAGAAAGAGAAGTGGCTATTTTGGAAACCAATTCTCCTAAATGTCGGTGCTGGTGCAGCTGTAGCAGTAGGACTGTGCATGTGCTGGGCTTTTCTGTCCCAGTAATGCTGTTTTATCTCACAGATTCCACTTCCTGTCTTTTATTTTGCACAGGGACCCAAATTATGGTACTCATATTAGTAGGTGCTTGGATGTTTCTAGAAAAAGGGACAAAAAAATTTAGAATGATCGTGTTTACAAGCATTCATACCCGGATGTTCTTCATGATTTATTGAATGTTTGTGTCATATGTGGTTATTACAATGTAACAAATTATGTAGTTACATTGTAACTACTGTTGTAATTCCGTCATGGTAAGTTCTCGAGGCCTAACAACTTTCACTGTACAGTATTTTGTCTGAGTTTATATGCGGAGCAATTTTAAATAGACCCCCACCGGTCCTACTGAGTCAGTTTATTAAATGTGTCTGTTTGCTAAGTTTCCGCATGGATATTCATAGGGCGACTCATTTGTTTCAGTAGGTCAAAGCCCAGTGAGTTTCCGTACATGCACATCTCAGGATCTTCTAGTAATAAACTGACTGTAGATTCAGCCAAATGTAAGAAGTGGTCCGGTTTCCACTTTCAAAAATGTACATAGTAAACTCTTTACTAAATAAGAAAAATTGTTGTTTATTTGCATTATTTCTTGTCTCAGGCATCTGCTGTGCATATGCTTTTCTGGTTTCTCAAGCTCATTTGCATTCATAAAATGATATCTCTCATTTCGTCAATGCATGTGGGGTAAAACTAATGTATGAGTGCAAATAAATGCAGATAGATTGCATGTTTACAGATGGCTACATCAGTGCAGTGTCAGGCCTGTTATGTAGAATTTTTAGACAATGGACGCTAAACACTGGCGATTTATTTTTGTCTCCAAGGATCATAGTTTGTTTCCAGTCCCCGTTACCTCACACTGTAAGATTTCATTGTGGGTTGAATGCCAATTACTTAGCAGAATCAATGGGAGTCAAATTAGATGTCTCTTCCTCCCATGGTTCCAGGGATTGATCCAATATTTCCAGAAGTGGCTAATGGTGGAGTGGTAATTTCATTCCATCTAGCCAAGTGACCAGCCGGGAAAGAACAATCCTTTTTCCTCTCAGCAGGCTGTTGTCACAAATACGGGAAAATGTCTTATTGGATCCAAGCTCCGCTTAAGGGACGACCTTTTAAGAGCTAATAACATTTTTCAAAGATGAGAGAAAATTTTTCCCAACATGAAGTGCAAATGTAATTGACATCTGGTTTGGGCATAATTTAATCTACAAAAGCTGTTGAACTCATCCTCCTGATACACTATAGTTCTAAAGTTCTGAAAAGATATATTTTAATTGTATATTTAAAATATTTTTTCAAATTGCATTTAGTTCAGTAATAAGAGTCAAATACAGAACAAAAAGTACAGAGGATTATTTAAAGAATGTGAGATAAAGAACACAAAATCAACATACATTTAACATTCATGCAGTTACATGAATTTGAAAAGCTTTTTTTATTGCAAGAGTTTCTATTGTTTACATGTCTTATTTTGTGTTCTCATTTTTTAAAGGGTTTTAAAGTACATTACAGTAGATCGATGCTACAAAGGGTAATATTTTTGTTTGTTTATTCTTTACTTGTGAATGCAAACATTTTCAGAGAAGTTTGGGTTACATTTACATTTATTATCGTATGGTTCTAAATGTAAAGCTTTTGTTTTGTCGTGTCCATTTAAGTCAATCCAAATTGAAGAGAATGTACATTTGCAACTAAGCCTTTGTTACTTCGGGAAATTCTTATTATTTTATAATAGCAGTTTGGATTTAAGAGTAAAATGTCTATGGTTAACATTACTTGAGACTTTCTCGTTTTGTTTTAGAACATAAATTGCATACAGTCCTCAGGTCCTTACACTGGCTTCCAGTTATATTTAGGATTGATTTTAAAGTACTTTTACTCGTTTATAACTCACTCGATGGCCTAGGACCTAAATACATTGCAGATATGCTCACTGAATATAAGCCTAACAGACCACTCAGATCAGTAGGATCGAGTTAGAAATACCAAGGGTTCACACAAAACAAGGGGAGTCCGCTTTCAGCTGCAGTTGGAACCAGCTTCCAGAAGAGATCAGATGTGCTAAATCAGGGGTGCCCACACTCGGTCCTGGAGGGCCGGTGTCCTGCCGAGTTTAGCTCCAACCCTAATCAAACACACCTGAAGCAGCTAATAAAGCTCTTACTAGGCATACTAGAAACTTCCAGGCAGGTGTGTTGAGACAAGTTGGAGCTAAACTCTGCAGGACACCGGCCCTCCAGGACCAGGCAGGTGTGTTGAGGCAAGCTGGAGCTAAACTCTGCAGGACACCGGCCCTCCAGGACCGAGTTTGGGCACCCCTGTGCTAAATCATTAGCCACATTTAAATCCAGACTCAAAACTCATCTGTTTAGCTGTGCATTTATAGAACGAGTTTTTAACTGTTTTAAATTCATTTTAAATTAATTTAAATCATTTTAAAAGTTTTTAAATTCCTTGTTTTATTGTTGTGATTATTTTTTATGTTTATTTAACTTCCTTTTATGTAAAGCACTTTGAATTACCATTGTGTATGAAATGTGCTATATAAATAAACTTGCTTTGCCTTGCCTAACCCATTTTCAGATGGATGTCCATGGTAAAATTCGTGATGTTTTAGCGGAGACAGTAAGAGGTGATGGGCACCATGGACAGCGCTCCCTCTCTGAGGAGGACTTCATACATGCTCTCCAGTGGAGAGGAATCGTGGATGATGTGATGAAAGATCTCCACTTCACAAATGTGGTATGTATACAATGCATGTTTTACATACATTGAGATTGCAAAATGAATGCATCTCCTTATCAAAGCATAGATATTTTTTATCTCTTTAAATGACTAGTTGGTTTCCCATCAGGATGTTTCTCACACTAAACCTGATACTGTGAACAAGTCTGCAACCCTCGTGTCATTCTATCATTTTATTCATCTTTAAAACACAAATGAAGACATTTTTAATGAGATTCCTGTCCCTCTACCGAAAGTGCAGTCCACCAAAACGTTGGTCTTCAAACACGTATCCAAATATGGTTGAGCTTCTGTTTATCATAGTTGATGTGCTGTATGTACAGTATGTGCATCGATCAGTGTTTAAATGCAAATGAAAGCCTAAATTAAATCTATCATATATGAAGTGATCGTGTCTCCTCAGAAGATTTGCATTATACTGCTTGGTTCATATTGATTACTTTTATTAGCTTTAATTTATGCTTTTATTCACATATAAACTGATGGATGCACATATATAGAGCAAATCAAATAACAAACCTCATTGATTTTCGCAAGCACATTTGAGCTTCCATTGACTGTATTTAATGTGCTCGGTGCATATGTTGTTGATCATTGTTCCAGTCGTTCAACTCCAGTCATAACCATGTAATGACCAGTCCCTCATTTGTACTGCTACAAAGACGATTTAGAAAATGACAACTATGGCTTAGATATCACACATTTTACATACAATTTAATATGATATGTGGATTATTTGAAGTGTCAAAGATTTAGTGGATTGGACTTTCAATGGAGTGTTAGATTTAAATAAAAATCAGGTTTCATTAAAAATATCTTCATTTGTGTTTTGAAGATGAACTAAAGTCTTATGGGTTTGGAGCAACATGAGGGTGCTGTAAATGATATCACTTTCATGATAGCAAAAAGAGCAACATAAACCTACTGTCTAACATTCTTTGTGTCCCAAGTAAATGATGAAATTTCCTTTTTTGAGTGAGATAACCCTTCCAAAAAATGTCACCAGCTA